TCAAGCATATGGAACTGTTGGACAAATAGAGCTAATAAACACAAGTTACATTTACCATCCATCATCATCTCTTGCAGATGACTGTTTGTAGAGAGCCTCGACATATTTCCTACCAGACCTGTGAAAAAGAGGTTATTAAAAATGAGTTTTTTAAAAAATTTATCGTAAATAATCTCTATGGGGCGAGTTTCTATACATAGTATTTAAATACAAGAAGTTGCATTAGTATAAAAGGAATAGAATAGAACTGCACCATATAGATCATACTGCCCGTCTGTCAAGTCAATCAGTAAATGAGAGTGTGCACGATTGAAAAATGCAACAAAGGGGGGTAATAGTGTGTAGTGGAAAAAAACGAAATTAATTTCTTAGTAGAAAAATCAACTATGACAAAGTACCTGTTGCATTTATTCCTGATGCACGTCCTTTGTTGGGATTCTTTATGTTCTACATAATTTTACGAATTTAACTTACTCACTGTGCAAGTCAAATAAGCAAAACAAACCACAGGAAAGGGAAGCAAAAAAAAAAAAAAAAAAAATATATATATATATATATATATATATATATATATATATATATATATATATATATAAAGACCACATGAAAATAGATATGAAAAATAATATCCGCGTTAGACGCACCGTTCAATACATTTTTCAATAGAAATATGTTGTTACTGGTTCTATTCATTTCTTTCCAGACTGCTTTATTTTTCTTCTCAAATTGTTCTATGAGCTGCAAAAAAATGAATTAGCCTTTAACATTATACTTTTTCACTAAACTTAAAATTAATAATAATAATAATAATAATAAACTTTATTTAAAGAGGGTAAAACATGTTAAGTGCGCACACTTATCTTACACATGGCATTCTAGTAGGCTTTCAATAGTGAAAGCAATGAGTCATCAGCCCACGAGACATTATACTTCCTCTTTCTTTTTGATTTTTTCTACATTAATACATGACAGACCGATTTAATCTGATTAATCACTTTTGTATCATAATCAAAATAATTAAAATCCAACGATATATGGTTTACATCAACGATTTCATTTTTTAAAGCATTTAAATAACAATTAGATACAACAAGTATGATATGACAAATACCCATTGTAGTACCTGAAATGTGGTGCAGTTCTCGCCGTGCAGCTTCATATCAGAGTCTAGAACACAGTTTGGTTTGCCAAAGGGAGTATCCGTTTTCCGCGAAGAGGGTTTGTCGTCGCCATGCTGATGGAGAAAAATTGCGGCTCCCATTGCCACTATGGCTATCATCTGTAAACAGCACATGATGAATATGACCCTGAGCGAAAGACGCCATCGTCGTCCACGCTTAATTTTGTCATAGAAGTGAGAAGTATGTAGCTCTTCGCAACTACTATCATCCTCACTGAATTCGGTGAATGTAGTTCGGTCTTCAGTTATGATATCAGAAGATCTGATGGAGGCGTACAGACCGTCAGTAGTGGTGGACTGGTCCGAGTACTGTGACGGAGCTGGCTGCAGTGGCTCGTCGTCTTCGCGACTAGGTAGAAATTGCTGACAACCACGAAAATCCATCATCGTCAGAAACGGTACAGCTTCGTTTTAATCACAGACAATTCGCAGTTACAGTTCCTTTGCAGAGCTATAAAAAATTAAAACTTTTCCCACAAGAACTGCTTGCAATGGTGAATTTAAGCTACGCCGTGTCTTGAACACAAACGTGTAAACGTCTTCCTATCGCATGCAATATGTTTACCGGGGTTTTCCACGGCTATTTTCTTTTCATTGTTCAAACAAGGTCAAAGCGATGCACTTACACCCCATTTCCATAGATTAGATCGACCTACTTTAGATCGACCTAACTCCCTGGGGGTTCACGCTAAATAGCTGTCAGCCGGGCNTTTCCCACAAGAACTGCTTGCAATGGTGAATTTAAGCTACGCCGTGTCTTGAACACAAACGTGTAAACGTCTTCCTATCGCATGCAATATGTTTACCGGGGTTTTCCACGGCTATTTTCTTTTCATTGTTCAAACAAGGTCAAAGCGATGCACTTACACCCCATTTCCATAGATTAGATCGACCTACTTTAGATCGACCTAACTCCCTGGGGGTTCACGCTAAATAGCTGTCAGCCGGGCGGACACGAAAGTTAATTACCCCCTTACAGCTTGTAGTAGGCGGGACGGACATTTAAGTCGGATTATCTGAAAGTAATCTAGTGAGACTCCCCACAGGGATAGATCAAACAAAAAGTTTGAAGATGCTATGTTATAAATATTCTAAAAGTTTTGTGATAACGTAATGCAACAAGGCACCTATATCTTACATTTCCCTGATTATAATTCAGGTTATGTAAATGTATATTTTCTACACTGCAAAGTTCATCTTGTGTGTTAACAATGGGATGATGGGATGATCGCTAATATGATAATATTTGTGGCTACTTTCATTTGTTAAAGGTAATGTAACAAGGCACCTACACGGCTATAAGAACGCTTTTAAACTATGTGTACATAGTCAATGACTGTATATGTAACATTGAATGATGCCAGTAGATAATGAAGTATAATGTTCTTTTTCCAATTCTGTCTACAGTTATGTTCAGTACATATCAAATATTGGGACAATACCGGGGTAGGCCTAATTTATAGGGCCTATTCTTTGTCATTTTATATATTCAAATCTTAACCATACTGACATTTGGGACAATACGTGTCAGGTGCGGATCCAGGATTATTTGGAGGGGGGTCCCGATGAAGGCCCACGAAAATTTTTGGTATTTCAGAGGGCAAACAGTGCCATTTGGTACAGTTTAGAACTATGATTCAGCTAGTCAAAGTTCTAATTTCAAGAGAGGACCAGAAATCGAAGGGAGGGTCAGAACCTCCCCCCCCCCTCTAAAACCGCCACTGGCGATTTACTTTCAACCAATTGTGAGTATGTGAAAAACGCTTTATCCTCTAAAATTACGTTGCATGTATGCTTCACGTGATGCATATCTACTGAAAAGAGCACAGGACTCAAACTACTGCGCATGCGCGAAAAGTACTCTGTTTGAAATAAACAAATGGTGCCAGGGAATTATATCCGATATAATTCCCTGAATTGACGAAGCTTGCCGGTGTTTACCGTCTAGTTGATTTGATTTAATATGCTTTCTGGTGTTGTTTTCAGAGGTTATATTAGAAATATTCTGTTAATTGTATGTATTAAAAAGCAAATCCATCGGACTTTCCTTAGATTAACATTTATTTTGTCTTCATTGTAAGGGGAATTCCCTTCGCATTTATAGTGTTATATGTGTCCCCAAGGGGGTTTTCCACCCCTCCCCTTCTCTTGATTAATAAAATTCTTCATCGGGCAGATTGAAAATTATATTGCAAAATACACTGAAATCGTACGAAGGTTAACTGCAGATAATGCTGCGAGGATATGCTAAACAGGGGGCGAACTCGGCCAATGCAAAATTTTTAACTTCGTCTTACGATTTTGGATTTTGCTACTGAAAAGACAAAACGTATTATGACGTCCTTGGCGCGTGCGGGTGTTATCAAGTAACGCAAAAGTTATTGGAGATAAGCTGCGCGCAAGCCAATGGAATACGGCGATTTTTCTTTTGAGTAAATATATCAGCAATGATTGCTGTGTCGCATTTGGCCTTTTTAGGCGTGAAATACAGTTACATGTATATTTTTCACAGAGAAAAGTTTAGACTGGAAAACGAGGTAAGTTATTGCTTTTTCGCAGAACAAATACCAAAAAATCAACTCGCGGTTTCTTCACATCTGCCTGAAAAGTACAATCTCCAGAAAAGCTGTATATTAGTTAGCTTATTCATAATCAAAATGATTTTGCACATGTTCATTTAAAATTGGTGTTAATCAGGTGAACTTTTCAATATCTTTTAACTAATTTTTAAACTTCATCCATCAAGAGGATTTAAAATAAAACAAGCGTCCTAACTAGCGACGATATGTCCAAGCCAAAACAAATTCAAATCTAAACTTTTTCATCAGATTTCCAATATTCAAGGTTATGGCTCTCTATTGGGAAGAAGACACGATGATTCCGATTTTGGGAGGTGGAGGATTCGGTGCGGTGTATATTAAACACACTATGATTAACAAACAAAAGATACATTGGTACTAACAGTAGTGACAGTAAAAGTTTAGTTTTTAGCAGTATCAGCAGAACAACAGTGGAGGGGTTTAAGTAATTAATTGTTAAATAATGACACCTGTTTTTCATTATTCTACTAACCGGACTTTATATTTTATGCAATAGTTTAGAAACAACCTGACATTAAAGGTACCAACACTTGCGGTCTATGCAAGGCTAATCTACAATGAAGTTTCCTTTATGAAAAAGATAAACAGCAACTTTGGATTGAGGTGCCTTCTAGAGCAGAAACCAGAAGAAAAATCCTCCAAGGCACCATCATTTACACAGACACGGAGTTTGTCTTCAGGGATCTGATTGACAGATTAGTCTGGTAGGCGACCCTGCATTATGAGATGTGATTATGT